TCTGGCAGCATCTATGAAGAAAAATCAGAGTTAATGTTTCGGGTCTGGTGACCCTTTCTCAGTTCTGCTGCCAGACCTACTGAGCTTTTCCAGCAACTTCTGTTTTTATTCCTGATTTACAGCTTCCACAGTTATTTCGGTTTTTAAATGTATGGAAAACGTTTTGATTCAGTTTGTTCATGCAGTACAAAGGCTTGGCCTTCTAAAAAACATTGAAACATGTTTGGTGAGTTAGCTCCAGAGAGGAAAAAGAATCAGTAATCTGTTTCTTCTTAATGTACTGTCTTTGGATGAGCATGGTACAGTTTAATAACATCAGTGCAGTCAAACATGTTTTTGTGCTGCACTACAAAATCCTAAAGCATTTCTACAGCATTTGCAGCTTCAGCTAGGGAAACAGGTGAACAATGTGCTTTCATATTCAGTGAAAGAATGTACTGCATCTACAGTTACATCATCTGTCAGTTCTGCTGTGCAGCTTTGCATGTTATCCACTTCTGCAAAAGTTTCCATGGTTGTTTTAGCTGGAATTTCCATGCTGTCCACACACTGGCAAGCAGAAAGAGCCTCACCATTGTGTTGGTTGGCATTCCCCTTCAGCAGTTGTGGCTTCCATGAATCTGGTCTGTAGGACAGTTGGGGTGTACTCGCTGAGCAGTGGTAACAGTTTTATCAATGGTGGATGAGGCAACCGGTCCCAACCTCTTCCTTGCTGGAGAGAGTGTCTGCTTTTCAAAGTCTTCCAAAATGTTTGCCTCGTCATTCAGAATAGTGGATAAACTCAATGGTGCAATGTCCGGTTTGGCTTCATGCTAATTTTCCACTTACTCTATTGCTCTCACCTTCTCTCTAAGTAACACTGTTACTTTTGTCCCAGGTCAAGCCATACTTAAAGGCTTTGCATGCCTTTTCACAGGAAGACTTCAATGTCAAATGATGGCTTACCTGTGATTTAGTACTTTTTTGTGGTCTAACTCCATTCTGATTGGTTGAAGCAGTCATATGACGAGCTTAGACAAGTTTGGCTAATCTGGCGTTACTGGTGCAACAATCTGTATTTGATTTGATTTATTATTATTGTCATGTACTGGGATACAGTAAAAAGTTTTGTTTGTGTGCTGTACAGGCAGACCGTACCATACAAAGTGAATCGGGTAGTAGAACAGAGTGCTGAATACAGTATTACAGCCGCAGAGAATGTGTAGAGAAAGTGATCAACATTAACATTTTGAGAGGTCCATTCAAAAGCCTGATAATGTGGGCTTATCAAGGGCATCTTTCAATTGGATTTGCTAATCTGCCATTGGAGATGGCTGATACTTCAACACAACTGTAATTGAATAAACAGTATGAGAAAATTAATCAGGAATATTGATCCAAATAAAACAGTATTATTTGGACAAAAGGACTCACAGAGTAAAGCTTGGATCTATTATTCGGAAGTTATTCTTCATCATGCATGATCAACATTCTGCATTAATTCTCAGGTAGGGTAGCAGAGGAAAGGCCCAAGGAATCAGTGAAGAAGGAATGAAATGCTGCAGTGGGAGAGGGGGATGTTTCCTGGACAGACTAACAACTTTCCTTAGCCATATTTAACTTGTGAACAAGATTGTGTGTATTCTGTTGATCCTAATCAAAAGAAATTGACTCAGTATCTCACATATTGCAGATTGTTGAAATTTCAATGTTCTCTCCCATGCCGTTGAGATATTTGATAATGGAAAAGGACATTTTCAAAGAGGAAATAGAGCCGCTGATATGTGTTCTTGCATTCGCTAATAGCAACCTGCAAAGACTACTCTATTGAGATCATGCAATGGGAAAGCTAAAGTTAGAGTTTACTCTCATAGAAATGTGTAAAGTGCCTAAATTCTGCGTGTGATCAGGCACTCCTGTTGAAGTGGATAAATGTGTGGAGAAAAGCTAGTGAAAGTTTCAGCTTTCTTGCTTCTCTGATTCCCAGTGCCATCATCCATTAACTGATTCCAGCACTAGCTGAATATTATGGGCTGTCAGATGTGTGATCTGTCTGAAGGGATTGAACTTGCTTGTTGGTCTTGGCTGCTTGCTCAGGACATCGAGACTGGGAGGGCTCTGATGCAAGATAGAAACAAAGTGTTGTGACAGCTTGTAAGGAGACTCCTTAGCACATGGGAGTTAGACATCCTGTTATGGCATCATTCATCTACCATAATTATTTACCTTAGTTTTGACTCAACTCTGATGTTAGATTAATGTGCACCAAGTATTGATGTGTTCATTGGTTGGAGCGTTGGAGACTGTCCAGGAATTTTAGTATATTAGAGAACAGAATCAAATGGAAGGTTTTGTGTGAAATGAGCTTGAGGGTGGGAATAGGGGCATGTGGAGTGGAGAGAGAATACTTTGCTGATTACATTGTTGTGTTAAAAGGACTCAATTGTGTGATGTTTAGTTGGTATGACATTGTTGATGTTTAGTTGGTATGACATGTGGAAGAAGCTGAGGGGATTGAATTTCGTGAGATTTTTAATGGCGCATTCAGATTAATAAAAATTATAAGAACATTTCAATCCTGTTATCACAATGTTTGATTCATTGTGGTGATTCTTTCATTTACGGTACAAGATGTTTCATATTCTTTTAGACGACCTGGAGAATTCAGGCTTATTTAGGAGTGTTAAGTTGGAGTACTCCTTAAGCAGGAGACCGTCTCCCTACCTCATATTTTAAGATCTGGTTGATTTCCCTTGTCATTTCTGTGGAGTATCAATATCGACAATAACAACTTGCTTTTATAAAACATCTTAAAGGGAGCAAAGTGTCTCAATGTATTGGACTAAAGTTATGAACACAAAGCCAACTAAGGAGATATTAGGATAGGTGGTTCACACAATACGTTTGGTCAATGACTTAAGAGCTTAAGACCCATCTTAAATTTGGGGACGCTTAGGAACATTATTCCAGAGCTGAAGGCATGGCCACATATAGTGAGGTGATTCAAACACCAGTAGTAAAGAAAATCTTTGTAACGTGTCCACATGAAGTGACACACTTGCAGTGTGATGACTAACATAAAGGAATGGATTTCAAGTTCATGAATGCAGCTGTACTCCACACACTTGAGTCCAATAGACAAACCATAAATGGCAAGGCTAGTTTTAGCACGCTTAGAAAAGGAATGGCTGGTTTGGAGCTGACTACGATTGCAACTCTTATAGTAAGAGCATTTGTTTTGAGGATGCCCACCTCGCATTTACAATTATGCAGTTCCTATGCCTTGGACAAACAGATCCAACTGGCACAAAACAGGCAACCCAGCGAGACACTAATACAAAATGTGTCTCTGTGCATTTGATTGAGTGGCCTGTTTTGCAACAGCACAATGCAGCTCCAAATGCAGTCCAGCAAATTTGTTTTGCCAGCCTCAGCCTGAGTTGGTGTTCTACACGCAAATCCAGGAAAATAAAAAAATACAGTTCACGTTGAGTCTCATACAGACTGTTGCAGCATTGCCTTTTGATGATTCCATGTGCCTTCTGAAAATAGGATGCTGTGTAACAACCCAGTAAAATTCACCATTTTTCCAAAGACTTTTACATAGAGTAACATCCTAAGGCTCTTCATGGAGGCATAATCAAAAAGAAATGAGACCAACTCAGACCACATCACTGGGACAGTGCAGTGCAACAGAGACACTCCCTGTCAGTCCAGACACTACCACACTCGACATTACCACAGGTCCCACCTCCATCGCACGTCAATATTTTCCTGCCTCAGTATGTGCCTGTCACCTCCGTTTGGCCAACTCACAGTAGTCATGGTTTCAGTCTCCACAACCTCTCATTTGAGAATTCTCATTTCAGCTCTCTTTCGTCCTATAAAATTTTTGTTATTAGAAAATAATAAACAGGTACAGGAGTAGACTGTGTCTGCTCCACCTTTTTATGATTATTGCTGATGTGGTTGTGGTATCAATTCTACTCAGTTCCCCTCCCCCCCACAAATAACCCTTGTAGATCAGGAATCTATGTAACTCAGTCTTGCGTACATTCAATGGCCCAGCTTCCACTATGCTGTGGGGTTCAAAATTTTAAAGCTTAACAAGCTACCCAGAGAGAAGAAATTTCTCCTCATTTTAGACTTAAATGTGAGATACCTCTTGTTCCAAAGTTATGCCCCCAAATTCTTAATTCCCCCAGAAGAGGAAACATCCTCGTAGGCTTGTCAATTCCCCTCAGAGTCTTACATATTTCAATAAGATTCCCTCTCATTCTTTTAAATACCATTGAGTACAGCTCCAACTAGCTCAACTGTTCCTCACGAGATCACCCACTCTTCAGAGGAATCGAAGTAGTAAACATTCTCTGAACTGCCCCAAATGAAAGTATACCGCTCCTTAAATAAAGAGACCAAAATTGTATGCTGTACTGTAGGTTTTAACTGTAGGCTGACATTTAACAGAAACATTAGACCTAGTGCATGTCCCCCCCTCAGTCATTTGGTCTGAGTTGGTCCTGTTGTTGGGCAGTGGCTGAAAGGAATCAGATATATTGATAATTATTCCTTCCCTCTGAGTGCTATTCTGGAAGGCTAGATCAGCAAATGGCCTTCTCGCTGGTCTTTAGGCTATTAATCACTTGCTAGCTGGTTGATTTCCTGTTCGTATGCCCTTTTAAGCATCTCCTGGCATCAACATGCTCTATCTCTCCCTGCTACATCAGCTCAACTCAGATTGTAAATTTGATATGCAAGATGAACAGCAAGCAGGAACCAGCAGTGTGCTGTTTGAGAAGCAGTGTGTGTACAACTGTTATGTCTGAAATAATGCATCAAAAGTAATTGCCAGTGTAAATGGACAATACAAGATTGCCAGTCTCATTCTATCTCACAGGAGCTGTTTATTTGATTCCTGTACAATCTAATTATGCGTAAATGTTCCAAGCTGTGACTGAGCATGACATTTCTTTGCTCTCTTGATCTGTCACATCTAACACATTTTTCTTATTTTGTCCCAGAGCACCGGAGATTATTTTGGGTTTGCCGTTTTGTGAAGCCATAGACATGTGGTCATTGGGATGTGTGATTGCTGAACTATTCCTTGGATGGCCTTTGTACCCAGGAGCACTGGAATATGACCAGGTAAGAGGTTATTTTTAACTGTCACATACAACTGCCTCATAAGGGAAACTTCCAGCTCACCAAGCCTAGCTGGGTATTGGGTGATCATGATTGACACGTTACGCAATTAAAGGAGTAAGCAATGTTTTGCTGTTCTAAATTTTGTCCTCAATTTAGGAAAACGTTATTACATGTTTAGCCAGTTTTAAGATGTTACCTTGCTAAATGAAAAGAATATGTCTCGTTCCGTGGTTAGTTAAGGTCAAGCTTGAATCAGGGATATAGGGAAACGGGTGCAGGCGATCCAGAATTAATAGTGTTGTTTTTATTAATGAAGGTCAAAGCATAGGGTGCTCTGTGTGAACTAAAGTAGTGGCTTTAGAAACGTATGTATGAAGTGCCTGACAGTGTATCCCAATGAGCAGCAGCTATGAAGCAATGAGAAGCACTTTAGCCTCTGAATCAGATGGTTGCGTGTTCCATGTCCCATTCTAGGACTTGACCACAAATTATAGGCTGGCATTCTTGTGCATTCCTTCTGGAGCAGTGCAGTGTCAGAATGGCATCTTTTGGATGAGATGCTAGACTGAGGCACTTCCTGCCCTCTCAGATGGATATATTTTGTTATGGTTCTATTTGAAAGAATGTCAAAAATCATACAACACCAGGTTATAATCCAACAGGTTTATTTGAAAACACAAGCTTTCAGAGTCTCGCACCTTCTTCAGGTGTTAGTGAGAGAGGTGGCATCAGACACAGAATTTATAAGCAAAAGATCAAAGGGTCATGTAACTGATGTAAATGTATTGAACAAACCTAAGATGACTGTTGAATCTTTGAAATATTAAAAATATTTGAAATAAGAGCAGAGTGCCCTGGCCATTATTTATCCCATAAAGAAAATGACAAACACATTATCTAGGCATTCACCACATTGTTGTTTGTGGCCATAGGAGCTTGTTATGCACAAACTGGTTGCTGTGTTTCCTACATTATAACAAAGACTACATTCAATAATATTCCATTGGCTGCAAAATGCTTTGGGATGTTGTTTAGTTGAGAAAGTACAATGTAAATGGCAGATTTTTGTTTCTTTCCAATGGAATCACAACTGTACAAAGGAGGAAGTTTGCCCCAGCAAGTCCATGTCAGTTCTCTGGATTTGGATGTGAGAACTAAATATATCATTTTAAGTGTTACTGTTGTCACAAAACTCTTTGACAATGTGAATTGGGAAGAGGGTAAAAAAGTAGGAATTTGGACAGTCTAAGTGAGTGGGCAAAAAAGCATGGCAGGTGAAATATAATGTGTAAAAATGTGAAATTATCTATTCTGGTCGTAAAAACAGAAATGAAAAACAAAATTATTTCTTAAATGGTGAGAGACTGGGAGTGTTGATGTACAAAGTGACCTGGGTGTCCTTGTTCATAAGTCACTGCAGGCTCCCTTCAGGTGCAAGTGGCAAAAGAGTTGAATTCCGGAGGTGAAATGAGGTTGAGTGTCCTTGCCATCAAGGCTACACTTGACTGAGTGTAGAATCAAGGAGCCCTAGCAAGACTGGAATCAATGGGAATTAGGGAAAAGTTCTGCACTAGTTGGGGTCATACCTATAACAAGAAAAATAGTTGTCGTTGTTGGAGATCAGTCGTTTCGGCTGCAGGATCTCTTTGCAGAAGTTCTTCAAGGTAGGGCCCTAACCTCAATCATCTTCAGCTGCTTCATCATAAGGTTAGAAATGGAATGTTCACTGATGATTGTACAATGGTCAGCACCATTTGTAACTCCTCAGATATTGAAGTAATCCATGGCTAAATATAGCAAAGCTAGAAAATATGCATATTTGGACTGATAAGTGGCAAGTAACATTTGCATCCCACAAATGTCAGGGAATGACCATCTTTAACAAGAAAGAATCTAACCATCTTCCTTTGACATTCAATAATGTTGCCATCATTGAATCCCTCATTATTCCCAGGATACCATTGACCAAAAATGGAACATGACTATTCATATAAATACTATGAAATGAGGACAGGGTAGACGCTTGAAATGGTACAGCAAGTAACTCACCTCCTGACTACCTAAGGCCTGTCCACCATCTACAAGGCATAAATCAGGAGTGTGATGGAGTTCTCCTCACTTGACTCCAACAGCCATAAAAAGCTGGATACCAACTAAGACAAAGGACTATATCCTCAAGCATCTATTCCCTCCACCATAGTTGCTCAGTAGCAACTGTATATATTATCTGCAAGATGCACTGTAGAAATTCACCAAGTCTCCTTACAAAGTATTTTCCAACCCACAATCACTACCACCTAGAGCAACAAGGGCAGCATATACTTGCGAATACCACCACCTGCAAGCCACACCAAACCATTTATTATCCTGACTTGAAAATATATTGTCATTTCTTCACTGTCACTGGGTCAAATCCTGGAATTTTCTCCCTTACTGCACATTAGGGTGGGTCTATTACAGCACATGGACTGCAACAGTTCAAGAAGACAGCTCACCGCTATCTCCTCAAGGGCAACTAAGGATGGGCAAAAATGCTGGCTAGCTAGTGATGCCCACATCCCATGAATGGAAAAAAAAAATTCTCACAATACTTAAAAAGGGCTTGACAGGCTGATGCAGAAAGGATGCAAGATGAAGTTTGGTGGTGGCGATGTGAGAACCAGGGGACCCAGTGTTAGAATATCAAGAGGGTTGCTGAGCTGAGGAGGCTTTTCTTCACCCAGAGGATGTTGGATCTTTCAAATTATTTGCAGGACTGTAGAGGTTCAGCCCTCGACTGTGTTCAATACAGTGATCAATAGATTTCTTGATGTTAAAGATATCAAGGGGTACCGGTACAGTGTGGAAGAATGGTAATGAAATCTAAGATCAGCCATTATCTAGTTGGAAGATGGAGCAGGCTCAAGGGCCAAAATGGCCTATTCCTGCCCCTATTTCTAATGTGATTTTGAACAATACAATGTGACAATACTATGGCTTTAAGAGGTGTATTTTGTCCCATTTCTTTTTATGAAGAAAAGTTGAGACAGAGATGCCGAGCAGAATGTTCCAAGGTGAATAAAGTAAACAGCTTCTGAGGCCTTGGGTTTTTTTCGTAAGTTTGAAACAAGAGAAGCAGCGTGAATGGGTGGGGTCAAGTTCCCACACAACCAGGATTTTTAGTTTTAGCTTTCTGCAGTTGCTGAGTCTGGAAGCTGGATGTGAAAACTCTTATTCCTCTCTCTGTTACAACTACAAGCTGGGGTTCTGTACCTGCTGCTAGAATTGCGTGTGAGACAATCTATTTTACTGAATTTGCCTTTGCCAAGTATGTATTTATAGGATGTTATTATTGAAACAGTTAATTAGTTGTACTTAATGTATATACTTTGTTAAGCATTTTGATAGAGTTACAGTAAGCCAGTTCTTTTATTTTTATTCTCTCTCTATTTTAATTATAATGTATAAATAAGGTGTGTTTTGTTTCAAGCCTGGTACTTTGACCAATCAGTTGCCTCCGGAATACAATGCCTTACACTTAATAAGAAAAAGTTAGGGTCGAGAATATCTTCTTAATATATTTTGAGGAAGGTTGGGACTGGTCCATAACAACAGTTAGTCTTAATCCCCTGCTTTGTCCCTATATTCCTGCGGGTTTATTTCCCTTGAGTGCCCATCCATTTTCCTGAAATTCATTTTGAAGAATTGTCATTGTAATGTAGAAAATGTGGCACCCAAATTGTGCACAGCAAGGTTCCACCATCAGCAATGAAGAAATTGGCTAGATAGCATCTGTTTTTCTTGTGTTGGTTAGGAGATAGATATTAGTTAAGGCGATGGAGAGAATTCCCCTGCTCTTCTCTAAATAATAGGAAGTGAGGTAGGGACATGAAAGCTGAGTGGGAGAATTCTAGTACTTGGAGCATGGTTGGATTTGAGATAAATAATAAGGGTTTCTTTATCTGAAATTATCTTGTGACATGCTGGATCTTGTTTTTTTTCTGTTTCTGCTTCATAGTTTCGTTCGAACAATCTAGTATTTGTTATCACCAATCAAAACATTTGTTGCACACAGATCATGATATAAGTTCCTGACAATGTTCATTTAGGTTACAGCCATCAATGTGATTGCAATTGTAGGGAAGTATGAGAAAGATCCCTTGAGTTAAGCAAAATCATTCCTTAAACAATAAAGATTCTTGTTTGTGAGAGAGATAGTAGGAACTGCTGATGCTGGAGAATCTGAGCTGACAAGGTGTAGAGCTGGATGAACACAGCAGGCCAAGCAGCATCAGAGGAGCAGGAAAGCTGACGTTTCGGGTCTGGACCCTTCTTCAGAAATTGTTTGTGTTGCTTTCTGGCCATTTTCCACATTATAAAATTAGTTTTTGAGGATCTAGTGTGTATCAGCCAGACAAAATGGCACAATGAGGATACCTGGATGAACAAAGGCCCTCCATACAAAAAGATGGTGCTGTGGGATCTTTTCCATCCATCTGAGAGGGCAGAAGAGGCCCTGCACAGAATGAAAACAAAGATGACAGTTTTAAAATCAAGAATTTGCTTGACCAGAAGCCAGTGTGGCTCAACGAATGCAGGGGTGATAGCGAAATAGGACTCGCTGCAACTTAAGACACTGGATGACCTCAGGTTTATTGAAGTTAGAATATATGACACTAGCCAGGACTGCACTGGAATAGTTGAATCTAGAGGTAATGTAGACAGGGATAACAGTTTCAGCAGTAGATGAACTGAAATAGGGGCAAAGTTGGGCAATGTTCTGGAAGTGGAAATCTATGATCTTAATGATGTGAAGTCAGAAGCTGTCCTGGGATAAAATATAACACCAATGCTGACGCAGTTTCACTATGTATACCCTAAATAAACTTTTTAAAATTTTGAAGACTTCTATTAGGCCACCCTGTAGTCCTGTTTCCAAGAAAGAAGAGCACACTGTTCTTTGCTATTGGTTATAACATCATTCTGGTATAATTTTCATTAACCTTTAATACCCTTGATGT